TGGAGCCTTCTTGGCTGCAGGATGTTTTCTGCTCTGTGTCCATTCACTCTTGAAAACAGGCACTCTTGAAAATAGGCTGTTGGGGATGAATCTATGTTGTATGCATCTCCAACTAAAGTGCAGATGGTTCATGTAGTCTGCAATGTTTTCTGGAAATCTGTTCATACTCCTGCACTACTCGAAGGATGTTCATCCCAAGGGAATAGCTAAATTCTACGGAGATTCTCAGTCATCCAGGTCATGGTTGTCCTAAAAGTGGTTTTTCAGGAGGCAGCTGGACTTCCTTGTTTTTCTTTGAAGATGTTTCATTTCTCATCCAAGAAGCTTCTTCAGCTCTGACTGGATGGTGGGGAATGGAGGGAATGACCAGCTGTCCACGAGGAATATAAATAGATGTCAAAGTATGACTCCGGCAGCTGAGGGGCAAGTCTCCAGAGATTCACATCAACTCTTTTCCTGCCCTTCCCAGAGACGACCTAGATGGGCATAGCACATGCAATATGTTCTTCAACAATGTCGAAGAACCTCAACAACCTCACTTAGTTATAGTTGCTGAACTGCCTTACACTAAAGAAAAATTCATCTCTTCATGGCTGTGTAACAGAAGCAAAGTGTCAACTTTACAATGAACCTGGCTGCAGCCATTTTGATCGTTCTAGGTTGCCACAGGAATGGGAAGGGTGTGGAGGATTTCTACTAGTCTAAACATTTTACTGTCCCATAGGAAACAAGATCATTTCTGTTAGTCAGATGGGGGAGGTGAGCATTTGGTTAGAAAGCCCACCAAACTGTTTTATTGGGGAATGTAGCTAATTGCATAGCACTGGGGTGGGAAGTTCAACTTTGTAATATTGTCTCTCTTTGAAGGGAATTTCAGACTTGGTTTCACTTTTGATCATGTTGATATTATGTAATCAATAAACATATTCTTTGAGGAAATCTCAGAATTCTCATTTGTTTGGTCCTGTCTATCGGAACCTTGACACAAAGTTTTCTTTGAATGAAGTTCAGCTTCTAAAGACTCATGGATATGTCCATGCCAACTTCTTGGCAACTGTATGCAAGCTGGTTGAAAAAGCTTGTTAGTAATCTATATCCAGCCGAGGTGAATGAATTTGGTTACTCTTCTATTTTCAGTACTTAGTTTGTTGTTATTTTTACTTGTCTAAAGTTCCCAGATCCATTAACAGACACTCTAGAGTGGGATCTAATGTCACAACAACCAATTTGTTCCCCAGTATGAGCTGCATTTCCTGAAAGCTTCTGTCAAAAATTCACCTCAGAAACCTGGAACAATGTCACAAGTGCTGTTTGTTTCTAGCAAATAAAATGCTTCTGGCACTCTCCGTATTATTCACCTCCACACTTTTCTATGTCAATTTGCTCCATAGTAATGGAATACTACATGTGCTCAAATGTTGGCACTCTTTCTAATAACAAAGAGGCATGCAATCTCTAATGAATGAATCAGCTAGAAAAATTATTTTAAACTGTTTAAAATCAGTTTTTAAAACCAATTAGGTTAACATTCTTTTTTCTGTTTTTGGTCTTTTTAAAGAAATTAATTGTTTTAATGAAAATATAAATATATACGAATATACCAAGCAATCCCCTATCGCACATAAGAAGGAAGATGTTTTAGTCAGTTATAATCAGAACATATTTGAATTTCAGAGGGCATGTTCTGAGGGAAGTGGTGGCCATGAGGGAGCTTTTCCATTCACAAAATATTTGTCAAGCCACAAAATGGTAGCTGCTTTAGCTGAAAAAAGAAATCTATGTGTTTGTATACTATACATCTAGGTACATTCACTAGGAACAAAATAAGTTTAAAGTATAAACTTCTGAACAGAGATATGGAAAAGCATTTGTTTTAACTAGATAGTCAACTGATTAAAAGGAAATGGATTAAAAAGGAAATTAACTATATCATAATTTCCCCATGTACTAAGGAACTGCTATTTTGTACAGTATATATTTTGAAATATTCTACAATTTAAACTGATTTGTCTTCTAGAAACCATAGAATGTTTTTAAATTATTGAAGAGCTTTTAGAAGCCTAGGCCCTAGAGTGATACATGACACTTAAGACAGATGACTGTATCATGTTTTCTAAGTTTAACATTTTTTTTCATTTGGATGTTTCATTATGTTTCATTATACTAAACAGCCAATATTAATTATTTCAGTGATAAGACAGAAAATGAATATATAAGAAGAGAGTATTTTGAATATTGACTAGAGGGAACCAGAGAGAACTAAGCATTATACATAAAGTAGCAGAGACCCATTATGACAACAGAAAAATACTATTTGACTAAGGAGTTTGGGTTCAATTGTGGTCATAAGTCAAAGATTATCTGTATTGTTTGTATTATTTTTTTATCTATTTGTAAACTTTAGAAAATTATTTCAATTCAGCATTCCATTCACTATTATTTTAGAAATATCACTTCCTTTTAGAATTTTTTTACAAAATGTTTTTGTACTTTTGCCAACATTGGCTTTTCTTCAAAGCAGCAGATCTTTCCACAGGTATGGAGTGAACAGTTGTGCTACCAATTCATTTGGGGGAGGGGAGAGAGGGAAGAATTGCTAGAAATCTAGATTTTAGCAAAGAACTTAAAAAGTGCAAAGTTTTGAAAAAAGTAAATGCTAAATACTAAAGAATGAATATTCTGTGTCTATGACTGAAATAAATCAAAATCTTAAGTTTTTGTATCACTAACATAAACTTTGAATATCATAATATAATAACAAATGGTAGTAAGAGAAAGATAACACACAAAATTTCTTATCAATATTTTATCAGTAGTTAACAGTAGTTAAAATATTTCAGTATCTAAAATATGGTGCTTAAAATAATTAGCATTCTCTTTTTTGTCATCAGAAAGGGCTTAAAAGTGATTAAACATGTATCACTTGGGAATTTTTGGTATTTAAAATTGCAGAGATATGACATTTGAAGATTCTGGCTTTTGTTTTTAATGGCTTTAAATACAAGTGCCATCATTCAGCGTTAAAAAAGCATAATCTCAGTAAAATGGAAGGTCAGTCCTCAAAAATGAAAAAAATATTGAGAAGATAAATCTGAAAAGTCACAGCTGTGTTAGTTTAACAGAAGTCATATTCAAATAATTGTCAAGAATCTAAAAATGTTCCATTAGAAATTACTGTATGCATTTATCCCATCTGACAAATCTGTTCAATATAGTAGTGGGGGTCTTCAGAAGGAGTGTTAAGGGTCTGGATCCTGGATGGCAAAACAGATGGGTCATTTGACAGAATTTAGAAGACATAAAGGAAATAATCATCCCCTTTAAAATGATGATAAATGGAGCAGCCCCCCCCCCAAGGATCAATGAAAGTTGTAACCCACTGCATCTTTAGGCAGAGGTTTTCTTTCAGGTGATAGTAAAAAAACTCAGCAATCTTTGAACAAGAGGATCAAGTGTGGGATTTGCTTAAGAACAGAACAGAACAGAATAGCAAAGTTGGAAGGGATCTTGGAGGTCTTCTAGTCCAACCTCCTGCTTAGGCAGGAAACCCTATACCATTTCAGACAAATGGCTGTCCATCTCTTCTTAATACTTCCAGTGTTGGAGCATTTACAACTTCTGGAGGCAAGTTGTTCCACTGATTAATTGTTCTAACTATCAGGAAGTTTCTCCTTAGTTCTAGGTTGCTTCTCTCCTTAATTTCCATCTGTTGCTTCTTGTCCTGCCTTCAGGTGCTTTGGAGAAGAGCCTAACTCCCTCTTCTTTGTAGCAGCCTCTGAGATATTGGAACACTGCTATCATGTCATCCCTTATCCTTCTCTTCATTAAACTAGACATATCCAATTCCAGCAACCGTTATTTATATGTTTTAGCCTCCAATCTCCAAGGAATGATAAGTATGGGTTTGAACATGAGAAGTCCTGAAGGGACATTCTGAGAGTGTAGAAATTGACCTAGTTTATTTTACCTGGTTGAGCTTGAAAGAGGTGTACTACTCTTTGTGTTCACTCAAGTTTCTGGTTTTGCATCAGCTAAGAGCCCACCCTCCTGGCATTGAGAGGGTTAAGAGGTCAGATAAGCTTGTGTGCTATTAAAATGGATGTTCATTCTTGGCCATTTTAAAAAATATTTTCTCTGTGGTGTACTGCCATTTTTATAATTATATTGATGTTTTTAACCTTTGCTTGCTGACCAGAGTCACATATGTAAGATGGGTGGCCATATAAATTGAATAAAACACGTAAATAAATAACTGGATCCAATTTATAATAACCTTAGGGAGAATAATGAAAATTCTTATTCAATATAACTAAAAAATACCAGATCAGGGATGGGTGATGGCTAAGCACATGTCAAAATTCACAAGAAGTTTCATGCCCTAAGTCAAAACGTGCTCTACATGGGGCTACCCTTGAAAAGTATTCGGAGACTACAGTTGGTCCAGAATGCAGCCGCGCGAGTGATTGTGGGTGTTCCTCGGTACACCCACGTTACATCTATCCTCTGTGAGCCGCACTGGTTGCCTGTTGGTCTCCGGGTCCAATTCAAGGTGTTGATTATTACCTTTAAAGCTCTATATGGCTCAGGGCCAGGCTATTTGCGAGACTGCCTACTACCTCATAGTTCCCTTCGTCCGGTTAGATCCCACAGGTTGGGCCTCCTTCAGGTCCCGTCGGCCAAGCAATGCCATTTGGCGGGGCCGCGGGGGAGGGATTTCTCTGTGATGGTGCCCACGTCTTGGAACCAGCTCCCCCCGGAGATTAGGACCGCTCCCACCCTGTTGGTTTTCCGCAAGCTGCTTAAGACCTGGCTTTTCCGGCAGGCTTGGAGTTTATAAAATCTGACCCCTGGATGAATGTTACTGTATTGTTTGTCTTGTTAAGTTATATTGTGTTTTTATTGTTAGCCGCCCGGAGTCCTACGGGAATGGGGCAGTCTATAAATTTTAATAAATAAAATAAATAAATAAAATAAAAAGCAAACAGGAAAAAAAAACTTACCCACAAGAAGGTCCATAATCACTGATCAGCTTGTTGTGGCTCTCCCAAAAGCCCTGAATGAATGCAAAGAGATGACAGAAATTATAGCTGGTTCTTTGCCTTACCAACACTGAACTGTCCATCGGATTTCAAGAATTTTTACAGATAAAAAAAAAATCTAGATACAGAGATAAAGGACTGAATGACCTGACTCAGTAATTCTCTCAATTCAACTCATCTTGGATTAGTTGTTGTTGTTGTGGGAAAAGTAGGAGGAGAAAGTTTTGTTGGATGTGTTTGCTTCCTTGAGTTATTTGTAAAAACAATAGAAGTAAGTAAAGGAACAGGCTTTTCAAGTATCTTCCAACATAACATTTAATGGTTGTTTAAAAAGCAGACAAAACAGTCTCTAAGAATAACAATGTTTAAGAAACACTGATACACTTCATTTATGCGCTGCCACATACTGTATTTTCCAGGAGCACGTAGTGTTTCTCATAGTATTTGCAATTTTTAATATAACACAAAATATTCCAATAAAATTGTCACGGAATATGAATTTCAAAATGCACAAAATAATAGCTAATAAGGCAGTGGCAGAGATATTCAAACTCGAAACAACATTAGGTTGATAATGCTGAACATCAGCAAAGAATGACAAATGAATTGATTTACCAAAGGATCATTTAGTTGAATTATGATACATTTGTTTTTCAGTGTAAACCCTGGATTTTTGCAAGGAAAGTGAGATATATGGTTTCTAAATAAATATTTTATAATGCCTTATTGAAACAGAGAATCAGCTGCCAAGAATTAAAAATTGGCTTTAGGCAGTTTAGGAAGAGCCACTGGTTCTCATCTACGCCTATGGTGACATCTAAAATATAAAGCTGTGGTGACTTGGTGGTGGACATTAAATCCAGTGTAAATCCAGCCATTAACCTTCTTAGCCTAAACACTGCAAATGGGTCACTATAGTCAGATCTGAGAATGACCCATCTTCCTTGTCACAATCTCCAAGTTAGTACCACAATTTGGAATGTATTTTATGTGCAGTGTCTAGCTTTCACACTGAACATTCCTTGCTTGTATAAAAATGTCAACAAAGCACTGACTTCATGCAGAATTGAAAAAAATTGAAAAATCTATCAAATTCAAAATGTCAAAAATGGATAGATTACAAATCTCCTGAATCCAGTCCTTAATATCTGGAATAATATTAATTTTCAAATTTCTCAAACTGAAACTGTGATTTCCCATGCCCAACATAGCCAAAGTTCCTCAAACCAATATATCAGATTGAAATATAAATAAGTACATTTCCCCCAAAACTTACTTATACATATTGTTTCCAAAAGATGCTAATAACTCACAAGGTCAAACCATATGAATCAATGATCTCTCAAAGACTATACATCAGGCAAAAAAAAAATCTCTCCAGTGACTATTGTTTAAATACATTTATTCTTAATAAAGCAGGAATAAGCATAGAAACCAGTTGCTATACACATGTGCATGAAATTTTATGTATGCCATCTTTTTTTTAAAAAAATAAATCACATACACAATTTGCTTCCTTTGATCATCATCTCTAATAGTCATCCTCTGTGGGTAATATTCTTTCATTTATGTGTGTGCCATTTCAGATTTTAATGCACATATACAGGCCTTCTAAATTTAATAAAAACAGCTTTTTTTACCCTTTAGAGTTATTGAGAGGTTAGTGTTATGTAATTAAGTTAATCCTCATTTGTAAATGCTAATTAACTAAATGCTAATTGAATCCATATATGAATATTAGCACAATGCACTCTCATTAGACAATTTTAAAAAATTACCTTAGCTAAACCCAAGCAAATTATTTTGCTTCTTATAATCTTTATAGAAAATGGAAAAAGGAGGCTATTTGATATAACAGCATGCTTTTTGCCCTCGATTTGCATTTTCTTTGTCTGACAAAGTATACAATCAACTGCTATTGTTGCCTATAGCATTTTACCTAAGGCTGAAATTCTATGCCTATTTACTTGTGAACAAACTCCAGTGAACCTATTGGGATTTACTGCTAAATTAAAACATGGAAGATTGTGCTATAAAGAAATTTATAGTTAAAACATTCCAAGCAAAATCAAGAAAGTTTTTGATTATATAAATAATAACCACAAGTTGTAGTAGGTGTATCTTGCCATCTTGGTTCTATTTCATATTTGAATAAATTGTCCACAGTAAAAGTCTTGTCTCCTTATCCTCAGATCTATGAATCATGAACTCAGAATTTCCTAGAGCTTTTACACAAACATGCCTCTTTTTCTATACATCATGACAGAGAACAGATGATGAAAAGGGACAGCTTCCTACAGCTGCTACATACTTTCCCAAAACACATCATAAAAATAGTCAGTCTGAAAAAGTAGCTCAATCAGCCATTATTTGCCAAATAATGAGGAGCTATACAGTAGATATGTGGTGAAGGGCTGTCTATATCCAAGGCACAAATGCTCTGGAAGATTTTTAGTATTCTTTTATGGTCTCAGTGAGGAAAATATACAAAAAAGTCTTAAATAAATAATCTTTCTGTTCTCCTCATTTGAATCATATCAGGGGAGTCAAATTTGTCTATTGTGGAGTAAATAGCCTCTGTCTTAAATGATTATATTGGGGTCTTCATCAAACATGCCATGTGTATATGAGCTTAATAAGCAAAGTCTACTCAAAACATTCTAGCAAGTTGACAAAAAAGAAGCGATCCAGAAATTTAAAATCTATGATGGGTATTCTCCCTCCCATAACTGGTTGTTTGTAAATTTTAATAGAAGTAAAAACTATTTCTAGTTTTCTACTAATTATTGAATCAGCTCCTTTTTTGCACCAGGCAGCAACCACCATTTTCTCTGAACCATCAAACATTTCCTCAAACTCTTCATTTCAGTGAAATCTTAAAGAAAGAGACAAAAAAAAATTAAAAGTGAGAAAACAAAGGGAAATTAATCTGTATCAGGAGAAATTCCTTCTTTGTATAGTTTTAAATAATAAAACTATGTTTTTAAAACCTTGTGTTCTAACATTCCATTCCAATCTTCCTCGTCTTGATGGTCTTCTGAATACATTGTTCAATTCAGCTGTGAATCCTGGCACCTGAACTCTAATACACAAAGGGCATCAAGTTGGAGGAGAATACTGAATTTCTGCATTCTCAATTTGTTACACAAAACATTTGTATTAGAAATTATTGCTAAAACAGCAATAATTTCTAATACAAATGTTTTGTGTAACACTTAATGCATCTATTGTTTTAAGCTTTTCAAATTAAAAAAGGGATTAAATATTCTGCATTTAAGAAATGCAGTCATAATAAACATATGGGCATATATTGATTTAGGCAAAAAAATTAAAAAAGCTATTATGGAAAAAATAAAACTGGACATATCATAAGCAAGAAAGAATTATTTTCTATGAATGTTTTTGAGTTTCAGCAGACATTCTATGCTATGGCATCTAAAGCTTTTACAAAGAACAACATTTAGAGAGCAAAAACAACTGTCTAGTCCTTTCATTCCTGAGCAGTATCCAAATATCTCAGCCAATGTTCCTAGCTAATCTTCTTATTTGTTTTAACAATACTGCCTTATTAGAAAGCTGAGAAATAATACTAATAATTAAAATAAATAAAAGAAGGAAGTGTGGATAATTGATGTGGCAATATCTGGCCACAGTATAATAGAAAATAAAGAATTTGAAAAGTTCTTTCAAGTTGAAAATTTGAATTTACATAGATCTGGAAAGCCAAGTTGAATGAGTTTGATATAACCAGCTGTGGTAATCCCAGTAGTTACCAACAGACTGGGTAACATACCCCAAAAAATTTGGACAATACTTAGAAAATTTATGCACTGAAAAATTTCTATTGGCCATTTACAAAAGTCCACACTGCATGAATCCATATATAAACTATGCCAATACATTAGGACATTGTTGGTTCTGGAAGAACTTGATGTTTATGAAAGCCAACAATGGAAAGAATTAGCAGCTGTGATTTCACATTATTGTATATTTAATAATGCCATGCTTATCATCTACACTACAGGAGCAAAATAGTAAAAACAAATTAAGGAATCAAGATGCCCTACAGAAATAATATCAGTGTGTGGATAAAGAAAATCACTACAGATACCTGGACATTCTTCAAAATAACAACATCAAGCATACTGAAGTAAAGAAGAAGGCTGGAAATGAATATATCATGAGAGCGAAGAAGATCTTCTTCATGTCCAAACTCAGTGGAGGAAATACCATCCAGGCAATTAACACCTTGCACTGACAAAATCACCATCAGTCAATTGCAAAAGGCAGCTTTACTTGCAACTGCTTACCTCCTGTGCCTATACCTTTAACCCCATTCAACAACATCTGCCTGTCACAGGTCCTTGGGAAGGACCCGATAGATGGCTGAAAATGCCAGATCCAGTCTAAACATCTGGCTGACTGTAGGAACAACCATAATAATAATTTGTTAATTTTATGTGCCGTCTGGCTCCCAGTAAACTGGGCAGTTTACAGTTGCATTTAAAAACATTTAAAAACAAAAAGCAATATAAATCACAAAACATCACAAGACAAAAGAACATTAATGGCAAAAAATAAACAAATACACCCAAAGTGGAAATAATAGGAAGAAAGTGGTATCAATCGTAGTTATCAATGGCCAGAACACCAGAAGTCTCATGTTATTTGTTGCACAACTGAAACAGAAGCATTGCCAACAAATGATTTCTTTAAAATGTTGCACTTTCTCTTTCTCAAACCCTTCCTTAAAGTAAATGTTTCTTCTTTACTAGCTGACTAGTAGAGTAGAGAGCAATTAATTGACTAACAAAAAGGATTGTAGGGAAAAAAATAATAAATATGATGATACAGAGATGTCTGCAAAAAGTGATCAGAGCCTTACATCCTTGCACTGTTGCTTTCACAACTATCAGTGCACAAACATAATGAGATCTGAGAAGACAAATGGAAGGTATTGTCACGACTATGGATAGGTCCATATACTGGATGAATCCATTATGTGGTTTATTTG